AGTTTCACACATCCCAAGCCGATCCAGTACCCTAGTCACTCTAATCCTACCAACCCATCCATCAGAACGTTCCTCCATTCCACATCGTTTCTTACCCCATTTTACTAAAATTCATTCAATCTTCCACCTATTTGGAAAGAACGAAGACAGTAGCCATCGTTTAATGCTACCTTTATCCTTCATGATACACTCGTCACAGAGCAAACTGAAACGCATTTCCACCTTAACTTTTACTGACCAAGGCACGCTGCAAGTGCATGACAAAAATACGGTGTGCATCCAGAATGTCGCCAATATTAGGTTAACATTTTGCATTTATTAGTAAGGATCAGAAATCTTTATTTCTCGAGTTATTTAGACCTGAAGATCGGCCACACAAGGGAGAAATACCCACCCCAGAAGTTGAACGATGGACTCTATGTAAAGTGATTCTAGTCTTGACAGTTCGAGCAGCAGCAGCGCCAATTGTCTGACATGACATCCACCCTCAGCTATCTAAAGAGGACGTATCAACGAAGGAAAGGATGATCAAGGAAGATAAAAGTGGAGGTCGGTCATGCTATTCATGCGGTTGTTATAATCTCGTGCATTTTTGGGGTGGTGTCAATGTAGAGAAGGGGTGGGATGACTACGAAGCGAATATGGATAGCAGTAAATGCATTCAGGTGAAGAGATGGGAAAAAGGGACAAGGAGTAGAGAGCAATGCAGCAGATTGAGACGAGGACAGTGGTATTGTCGTCGCATTAGTTTGCATCGCCTTGACTGACCTTGTGTCGTCGGAGGCGAACAGAGCAAGGGAGAGGACAGTAGTGGTGACCACGATGTTGGTGGGAGCAGCGACGACCAGGGGTGTGGGCAACAGTTTGGGTATAGTGGTGACGATCGCAGGCAGCCGGGGTAGGCATGCCGTCTGCACAAAATTGGATGGATTCATCTACCACAGTGTCACTGCTCCTACTTGTGCTGCTGCTGCTGCTGTTGTTGCTGTGGCTCTTGTTGTCGTTGTTGGCGGTGGTGGTCGTGATGGCGGATCGGGGGAATGGGCTGCACTGTGGCGTTGAGAGTGGGGGAGGACAGTTGGTAGGTGGTGGGTGTGTGGTCCAAGTCGGAGTGCTGGATGGTCATTTGTCGAAGCACCTTTGCCGAGTCCAGCGGTTCCCAGAGGTAGTACGTGCTCTGCTCCGATGTGTCGTCTCGCATCACATCGCTGCCAGGCACACGAGTGAGCCACCGCTTCTTCCTCTTGTGATAGCGCCACTTGCGATTGTATCTGTAGTGAGAAATCAATGGTGACGGTGATTTCCCACCCTCCTAGCCCATGCCAGTTGGATGGTTTAAAGGAGTTGGGAGGAAGATGAGGAAGTGAGAGGGCAATGATGCGTGTGGTGGAGGAGAGGAGTTTGAGAGGTGAGGACTCACAGCTCCTTGGCAGCGACGAGTTGAACCTCCTCACGACAGCAGTTGTAGAATATCCAAAAGAGGATTGCATCGGTGAGTTTGGCCAGTGGAGGATCAGCAGGAAGACGATCCGCAATCCGATGGCGGATTCGGTAGGCTGCAGGTACATGCCAATCCGTGTCATGCGGTGGCAGCATGAACTGGTTGGACAAAGGCGAGGCCATGATGTTGTGCATTTCGCTGAAGACGAGAAAGACATGCTACAAATCGCATATGCTACGAAGCGTCACTATATGAAATGCCATCGAAAGGAGATGACGAGTGAGGAGGAAGAGGGTGTAACTGTTTGGAAACGATGACCAGCACGACACAACCCTGATTCAGGTGAGAGTACTTCTTTGTCTACCCATTCAATGGGACTGGACGACTTACCCAGGTGGAGGCCAGTTTTCGAAGTCTGTCTTGCTGAGATCGAATCCTGGTGCGAACGCGGCTAGAGGCGACTCGATTTCCGTGAGCTTAAGCAGACCAAGCATTCCAAACTGGTTTTGCACCATGTCGTTGGGAATGCCTCTGATGTAATGATTGTCGAAGAATTGGACAGGCCTTGTAGAATTCGCCCCTGTGGAGGACGTGGTGTCGCTGTGTGCACAGTGTATTTGATGATCTGATTGGCTGTCATGCGCGGTCTCGGCTGATGCAGCAGTAGTTGATGATGTGGATGAATTGGAGAAGGGAACGTTGCAGGATGTGGAGACGGTGGTGGTGGTGGTGGAGGAGGAGGAGGAGGAAGAAGTCGGATTGGGAGCATTAGCAGCAGCACGCAACCCACCACCACCATCAACACTGTCATTGATAGTGAGAGGAGTTGTGGGCTTCTGAGCAGTCGGTAGAGCAGGAAAATCCTCATCCATGGAGAATCGTGGACTTGTCTGCCTGTTGGAACTCGAAGAGACTGTGTGGA